CCCAATCCCAGACCACCAGGTCATTGTGTACTGTGGTGCAGGTCAGCCAATGGTTTTCCTCCATTCCTCCTTCCCCACAAAAGTAAAAACAGTATATGGCCAACTCCTAGACAGATGCTTCATAGTAACTGGCTTCACAGTTATATGTTTCTTTCTCTCTAAAAGCAAAGTAAATTCTTTCTGATCAAGTTCCTACATCTCCTTCCTGACCCATTTTCCCCAGCCTCTGTGGGCTACCCTCCATCTCTTAACATGGGCCTGGCACTCTTGTACCGTAAGCTGCCAATAGGAAGACAGATTATTCTCATGAAAACCTTCTACAGGGGTAGCTAACCACACTCCAGAGCACACCCTCTCTTCCAGAGGCATTACCAGCCATAATAAGACACAACAAAAGCACGATCTGTCCTGGGAGGTAGAGCAAGACAGCAAAAAGGGTTCTGGATTTGGAACCGGTGGCCTTGGATTTAGATCCCAGATTTGTACTTGAACGTGCAGCAATTTGAGAGGCGGCATGGAAAACATCACAGTAGAAAGAGTGCTGGGTTTCAAATCAGGACCTGGGTTCACACCCCAGCTCTGCCACTCACTCACTACCTATGTGACCTTGGGCAAGATGCTTAATCACACCTGCCTCAGTTTCCCCATTTTTAAAATGAGAGAATTGGACTAGATGGCCTCTCAGATCCTTTCTACCTCTAAAATTAGGATCCCACGTTATTTCTCAGGGTAAACCTCAGTTTCCTCATCTGTGAAATGAGAGAGATGGAATAGATGGGTTCGGAGGCCCCTTCTAACACCAAATCTACGATCCTGAATTATTCAGTTTCTTCATTAGGACCTCAGAGTCAGTAGAACTCCATTCTCTATTTCTTCTGACATCTTGTCATGAATGAACAGAAGCGGGTAGCAACAGTAGCTTAGATCAGCCTTGGCAGTCTCTCCGGCACATGCTCCTGGAAGACAGCACACCTCCTGATCAGCCAAGTTGGGCCTCCTTGAAGCTGGCTCCCTGGACGGGAGGAGGCAGTCACCCACCCCATGATGTGCTTCTTCCTCCCACGGGACGCAGCAGGTTTCCTCCTACTGCTAGAAGCTATGGTTCTTTCTCAGTGCTGCATGGAGCATGGGACAGGGCTTTTAAAAATTATTTACTTTGTTTTTAATCTAGGAAAATAAAACAAGTATTTCCATAACATAATATAATAAGAAAAGATTGTGCATTAAACTGCAAATCTATTATATACAACTTCATGCAACAGCTAGGAAATTAGCTGTGCTCTGGCACTGGATGAGGCTTGTACAATATCACTCTACACGCTAATTTCCTATCTGTTGCATGAATTCAAAACTACAAAAGATCTCTTTCTCTGCTGTACCACCCTTGTTCCATTTGGCATTGGTTTCCCTTCATGCTCTCAGAAAAAAAAAAATATTTTCATTCTTTCTCCTTTCCAGGAGTATGCAGTATAATGCATACAGTGTTGACCTTTGAGTCAGGAAGACTTGGGTTCAAATCCTGCCTCTTGCTAGCTGCTGTAACCCTAGACAAGTTACTTAAGCACCAACAGCCTCAGTTTCTTCATCTGAAAAAAACAAAACAAAATGAGGGAGTCTTATCTAGCTTTAAATCTATTACTGCATGAGCCTATCATCCTATCTGGTAAGAGAGAAGACAAAGAGTATTCCTCAAACTTTTTTGATTTCTTTGATTTAGTAATTGCAGATAGTTTACTAGTGATGACCACCAGACAGGAAAATAAGTATAACATATTCCCTATGGGTCCTATTACTGTTTCCCCAAAATCCATACTGCTAGTGGCTCTAGATGAACTAACAGTACTTTGCATCTCTCTAAGGGAACTTCCAAAGAAACATCATCTTTCTATGTCTATTAGAGGGGCTGGTGCTCTTTAAACCCCATCCCTATCTGGATCAGTGGCTGAGTTCAACAAATAGGCTATGTGATTCCTATTCCTGCTTGGAGGGGAGATGGGAATCTCTTTTCCTTTTGATAGTCTCTAGATAAGGAAATTCTACAGTGGCCTCCTTCCAGTTTCTCACATCATTCCCTGTTGGAAAGTTCTTCCATCCAAAGCTGTCCAATCCAAATGCTTCGGCGTGTTCCAGTGAAGACACAGCAATTGCTGACTCTTTTCAGTGGGGAAGGATGCCTCGGGCCTCAGTGGGATCCATGAGAGCAAGGGCCTGATGTGACTTCTGACTCTGTTGTCTATTCTTTCCTATTTTAGGTGAAGGAAAATCAAAAAGGGCCAGAAGGGAAAGCCACAAAGAATCTAAACTCATGCTGGGTTTTTCAGCCGGCCAACATCAGTTCAGGGTTGCTGAGATAATGACTTTCCCAATGGCTACGCCATATTTGGAAGTTAACTTGGTAGGCAGTAGGTGGTGCAGTAGATAGAGTGCCAGGCCTGGAGTCAGGAAGACCTGAGTTCAAATCTGGCCTCAGACACTTCCTAGCTGTGTGACCTTGGGCAAGTCACTTCACCCTATTTGCCTCAGTTTCCTGATCTGTAAAATGAGCTGGAGAAGGAAATAGCAAACTACTCCAGTATCTCTGCCAAGAAAATCACAAATGGGGACATGAATTTAGGGTCCTCAAATGCAGACACGACTGAAAATGACTGATCAACAATAAACAAATTGATAGGATCAATACTTTGGAGAAACTGCTTAGGAACTCACTCTCCCCAGGGACTAAGGCAATCTGGGGAAGAGTGCGCCCCCAGGCATTGAGGGAATTTTTGTACTTCTGTTCATGCTGCCTCTTCATAGCAAATATCCCTTTGTCAAAACTTTTAGATGGAAAATACTATCCACATCCAGAGAAAGAACTATGGAATCTGAATGCAGATCAAAGCATACTATTTTCTCTTGCCCTATCCTTACTATGTTAATCTAGCCTCAGTATATATGAGCAATATATCATCAGTTGGCTAGGTGGTACAGTGGATGAAGGCTTGGACCTGGATTCGGAAAGACTTGAGTTCAAATCCAATCTCATGTATTTTCTAGCTGTGTGACCCTGGGAAAGTCACTTAACCTCTGTTTGTCTCAGTTTTCTCAGCTGTAAAATAGGGATTAGTAATATCACCTTTCTCTGGGTTGTTGTGAGGATCCAATGAGATAAGGTTTGTAAAGTGCTTAGCACAGCACCTGGCACATAGTAGGTACTATATAAATGTTAGTTATTATTATTATTATTATTATGTCTATAATCCTAATTTACTATCCAAGCGAACTTGAGCAAGAAGTTCTCTATCTTTGGGCCTCCATTTCCTGAGGGGTTGCACAAGTCCAGCTCTGAGGTGCCTTCTAGCTCTGAATTTATGATTACATAACCAAGATTAGATGGGATGGGCGCAGGAGTGACTTTTCAGTTCTTCTACGTACAACTTTCATTTCGTTCTATTTCTTCTGAAAAACAAGAGTTGCTAAGTTCACTAAGTGCACGACCCTGAGCCCTATCTTTCTCATCTTATATATATTTCCTTCATAGCTCCTTAAGATTTATTGCCTTCCCACTCCATCCTCACTACAAAAATTTCATCAGCAAGCTTAAAAAATTGGTGGTGATTTCCCATCAAAGTCAGATCAGAACACCCTGTTCCTTTTCCTAATCTACCAGCTTTTTGGTAAAACTTGCAACAAGCAGAAGAAAAGATAAGGTGCCATTTCCAACTGGTCATGGCAAATGCCAAGCAGCCCACAGCTGCTGTAAAATTAAAGGCAGTAGGGTTCGCTCCGTGGAAATCTCTCTTCAAAGCAGGCCCCATGCAAACACGTTGCTCCATGGTGCCAGGCTAGCGGGCATGTAATGGGGAGAGCAAACCTGGCACTGGACTCCCTCTATCCCTCCCTGGACAGGTGGTTACTTCCCAGAGCCATGTTCTTCTGTTACCCTTATGGATAGAATTGCTGGCGTGACACCAGCCAGAGCCAAAGGCAGCTTCTACCCTCATTAGGAAAAGTAATTTGCCCCAAACTCCAGTTTACAAATATAAGCTCTGTATTCTCCGGGGTTTGAGCAAAACAATCAAGATATAAGTCAATGTAGAAACTTCCTGAGTAAGACTTCCCAACTATCTTCCCATGACCTGGGCTTCCATTCACTTTCTTCACTCCTACCTCACTTAAATCCAATTCACTTGCATGTCATGGCATCACCTCCCTGATGTCATCGTCCTCTTCAAGAACAAAGGACGAACAACTACCACTTCCCCATTAGAATGTAAGCTCGTTGAAGGCAGTGACTGTTTCATTTGTGTCCTTCTGTCCCCAGCTTCTGAAAGGTATCTTGGTATAGTGGACGGTGAGCTGACTTTGGAGCCAAAAAGACCTGAGTTCAAGTCTCTCCTCTCATCCATTCTAGTCATGTGACTCTGGGCAAGTCACTTAACCCTCTAAGACAGAGGTTCTTAACCTTTTCTGTGTCATGGACCCCTCTGGCAATCTGGTAAACTTTAAGGACCCTCTTCTCAGAAAAAAAAAAAAAAAGTTTGTAAATTCACAAAATAAAGGAAACCAGCTATGTTGAAATATAGTTTTTTTTTTTCAAAGTTCACAAAATCTAGGTTAAGAACTCCTATTCTAAGGCTATGTGTTTTAGAGAAAGTACAGACCTGCATTGGTAAAGGGAATTTCTTCACTTGAGTTTTCCAGATAAATGAAAACATAGATCCAGTCCCTAGCCTGACCCCTGATAGGTGCTTAATAAATGTTTGTTATATTGAGTGGAATCGAATTTTCCAAGGGCAGGCACTGCCCCTCCCCCCCAAATGGGCCATCTATCTATCTCTCCTCATAGTTCCCACAGCATGAATATTAATCATAACAACAATGAGGCTGGTGAGGGAGATGGGAGCATGGTTAGAAGACTTTCCAACTGGAGAACCAACCCTTGCCCTCCCAGGGGCCCCATGACACTCTTTCAGAAACAGGAAAGGTTGACATTTGAGAATACATCCTTTAAACCTTACCTTGGCACACTGGCCAAATAAGTCACAAGTTTCCGCAAGTCTTCCTGCCTTATTCTGTCATGATTGCTCCGTGCAGGGAAAGTCAGAATGGGTCCACCTCGCTTATCTCGGCCACCTGTAGGAAGGGAAAACAAGAGAGGGATTAGGATCGTCATAATCACAGCTAGCATTTATATTGTGCTTTTAAGGTTTGCAAACTGCTTTGCAAATATTATCTCACTTAATCCTCACAATAACCCTAGGAGATAGGTGCTATTATCCCTATTTTACAGATCAGGAAATTGAGGCAGACAGAGGTGAAGTGCTCAGGGTCTTATAGTTAGTAAGTATCCGAGGCAGGATTCTAACGTGGGTCTTCCTGACTCCAAGTCTAGACCTCTATCTTCTGTGCCACCTGGCTGCCTAGGTTGAATGGCACTAAATAGGCACAAAGTTCTCTACATATATTGTCTCTTTTGATCCTTATAACACTTTTATGAAGTGGGTACTATTACCCCAATATTATGTATGAGAAGAATTAGCCCAGGTAACTGCCTCAATGGATGCATAGCCAGGGATATCATATAGGGTCACTTGGGGACTTCAGCCTTTCTCAACTAAGATAACTTTCCCTGGTTCTTTTTGCCTTTCATCTCTGTGGAAATAGATTTGTTGTTTATTTGTTTTCAGTCATATCCAACTCTTCATGACCCCATTTTTATGGAATTTTCTTGGCAAGGGTACTGGAATGGTTTGCCATTCTTTCTCCAGCTCATTTTACACACGATGAAACTGAGGCAAACAGGGTTAAGTTTCCTGCCCAGGGTTAAGCAAGTAGGAAGGCCGCATTTGAACTCAGGTCTTCCTGACAGATTACTATACTCCTGTGCCATTTCATGCCCAAGTACTTGGGAGCTCAGACTGAATTTATTAAGATCATAGGTCCAGAGTTGGAAGTGAACTTGGAGGCCATCTCATCTAACCTCTTCACTTGACAGTTGTGGAAACCGAGGCCCTGAGATATTAAACTTCATTAAATCAAATGGCCAAGAAGAAAAGGCTCTAACAAAAATAATGAGTTTGTATAGCAAGGCAGAATAATGGTTAAAGACAAGCTGACATGGAAGGAAGTCAAGTACTTCCCCTCTGTGCAACCTGCTGTTCTCTCTGTCAGTGACCTCTGAGGTCTCTGGAGTCAGAAAACTTGGGATCAGATTCTATCTCTGACCACTACCTGTGTGCTTCATGACAGAGAAAATATCATGTTGAACTTTACAAACAAAAACATTTTTTATTTTTTAATTAATTTATTTGTTTTTAGTTTTCCACATTCACTTCCATAAGATTTTGGGTTCTAAATTTTCTCCCCCTCCTTTCTCCCTCTCCTTCCCAAAATGGCATACAATTTGATATAGGCTCTGCATTTACATTCATATTGAACATATTTTCACATTAGTCATGTTGTAAAGAAGGATTAGGACCAATGGGAGGAAACACAAGAAAGAAGAAACCAAAAAAAAAAGAGAGAGAGAGAGAGAGAGCAAATAGTATGCTTTGAATCACATTCTGACTCCACAGTTCTTTCTCTGAAGGTGGATAGCATTTTCCATCAGGAATCTTCTGGAGTTGTCTCAGATCCTTGCATTGCTGAGAAGAGCTCAGTCTATCAAAGTCAGTCATCACACAATGTTGCTGTTGCTATGTACAACGTTCTCCTGGTTCTGCTCACTTCACTCTGCATCAGTTTGTGTAAGTCTTTCCAGGTTTTTCTGAAGTCTGCCTGCTCATCATTTCTTATGGAACTATTGTTCTATTGTACAATAGTATTGTTCAATACTATTGTATTCTGTCACAGTCATATGCCACAACTTGTTCAGCCATTCCCCAATTGATGGGCATCCCTTCAATTTCCAATTCTTGGCCACCACAAAAAACATTTTTTTTAATCCATCATTTTTCTTTGTAAAGTTCTCTTAAGGTCCTCTCATTGAATTGTTGTGACCTTTTGCATCTGCTTTGACCTCTGGTCCTGCCCATGCCCAGTCTATTCCATCACATCATCAAATGAGCCCTCCTTTTTTTTTTTTTTTTTTGCTTCTTGATGAGGCAATTGGGGTTAAGTGACTTGCCCAGGGTCACACAGCTAGTTAAGTGTCAAGTGTCTGAGGTCAGATTTGAACTCAGGTCCTCCTGACTCCAAGGCTGGAGCTCTATGCACTGCGCCACCTAGCGGCCCCATGAGCCCTCCTTCTAAGCACATCCTTAACTGGGCTGTGAAGGCTGCTGCCCACTGGCTTTAAGTGCTAAAAATGAATGATTTCTAAGGTTGCTCATTTTAAAATCGCACAAAAGCTCCCAGTCTCAGTGTGTCCAAGATTAACCATTAGCCAGACTTTTGTGATCAATGTTGGCTTAGTCAGCTGAGAGGGAGGCAGTATAAGGTAGGGAGAACATGACGGGAAGTCAGTACAATTATATTATAGACCCACTTCTGTTATGTCCTAACTCAGATAAGACATTGAAGCACTTTCAGCCTGTTTCCTAACCTGTTAAATGGGGATGATCATACTTGTCCCGCTGACTTTGCAAGATTCTCAGACCAAATAGGAAATGTGTATGAAAGCACATTCGAAATTGTAATGCCCAATATAAAAGTAACGATTGTACTTTTTCCCATTATCTAAGCACTGTTACCTCATTCATGCAAGATCCAGGTTTCTTGAGCTTCCACACCAACCAGATCCTCAACTCATCCATAACATATTCTTTTTTTTCTTTTTTAATATTTTATTTTTATCAATTAGATGTAAAAAACAATTTTAACATTCATTTTTTAAAATGCTGAGTTCCAAATTCTCTCCCTCTCTCTCTTCCCTTCCCTCTCCTTGAGAAGGCAATTTGATATAGATTATCATGTAGTCATGCAAAATATATTTCCATATTAATCACATTTGTGAAAGAAAACACAGACAAAAAAAAACACAAGAAAAATAAAGTTAAAAAAAAGAAAGTAGACTTTGATCTGCATTCAGACTATCGGTTCTTTCTCTGAAGGTGGATAGCATTTTTTATCATAAGTCCTTTGGAATTGTCTTAGATCATTGTATTGCTGAAAATAATTGTTATTCACAGTTGATTATCATACAATGTTGCTGTTACTATATACAGCGTTCTCCTGGTTCTGCTCACTTCACTTTGTATCAGTTCACGTAAGTCCTGGTTTTTCTGAGAGTATCTTGTTTACTATTTCTTATAGGCCAATAGTATTCCATCACAAAGATATATCATAATTTGTTCACTTATTCCCCAATTGATGAGCATTCCCTTGATTTCCAATTCTTTGCCACTACAAAAAGAGCTGCTATAAATATTTTTGTACATGTAGGTCCCTATCCTTTTCCTTTGATCTCTTTGAGATACAGATCCAGTAGTAGTATTGCTGGGTTAAAAGGTACAGGCCATTAGGCATAGTTCCAAATTGCTCTCCAGAATGGTTGAATCAGTTCACAACTCCACCAACTGTGCATTAGTATCCCAATTTCCCCATATCTCTTCCAACATTTGTCATTTCCCTTTTCTATCATATTAGCCAATCAGATAGGTGTGAGGCGATACCTCAGAGTTGTTTTCATTTGCATTGCTTGTATTCTTTTTTAAAAATAATTTTGTTGATGTCATCTGTGTCTTACATCATCATAGTTATCCCCGATATCCTTCCCTTTTCCGCTCTCAGAGAGCCATCCAATATAACAAATAGTATTTTTAAGGAAAAAAAACCCAGCATAACTGATTGATAAATTGTAAAAGTCCAAAAACATATGCACCACCTGTGGACCTCCTACCTCCATGAAGGGAGTGGAATTGGTCTTATCATATGTCTTCATTTGTGTCCTGCTCGATCTTTATAATTTGATTACATTCACTTTTGATCATTTGGTGAGTCGTTGTTCTTTCCATTTACACTGTTGTATAACTTGTAGTCTTAAAGAGCTGCCCAGAGGACTGAGAGGATGAGTGACTTGCCCAAAGTCACATAGCCCAGATGGATCAGAACAGGTCATGGACCCGTCTTCCTGACTCTAAGACCAGTTCTGTAACCACTATGTCAAGTTGTAAATATATATATATAGATATATGTGTGTGTGTATATATATATATGTATGTATATATGTATGTATATACATGTACATGTGTATATAGAATTCATATGTAACTTGTCAATATAAGTTATACATAAATTATACATAATTCTATATTATAGAATTTATATTATATATTATAATTACATATACCATAATATATAATCTTATATATACAATTATACATATATATTATAGTGTAATATATTATATATAATATATAATTTATGTATGACTTAAGCTATATATAAATTATAATTCTTTTTTACACCAAAGTCTTTCGTTAGTTCATTTCAACACATATTTACTGTATGCCCACTATATGTGGGCATATCTTGTCTACCTTCTCCAACTCATTTCCCCGTTGAAACTAACACAGCACAGAGGTGGGAGGACTTTATTTTATAGGAGACTGAGGATAATCTTCGGGAAGCTCATCTGTCCTCATGGCTTTGGTACGGGACAAGCTATATTCTAATGAAACATTTGTGAGACTGGAAAAATGAAAGAGGTATTTGTCATTCAAAGAGTAGCATCTGTGGGAGGTAATAGGGTAAGCACCTGAGTTCAAATCTCACTTCTGATACTTAACTACTTATGTGACCTTGGGCAAGTCATTTAACCCCTTGGGGGCCTCAGTTTCCCTAACTATAAAATTAGTTGATTGAACTAGATGGTCCTTACTGTCTCTAAATCCAGGGGTTGGAGGGTCTTGGTGAGGAGGGTATAAAAATAGAAAAAGAAGACAACATCACATTCTTTGGCGGGGGTGGGGGCGGTAGGGGGGAGGGAATCAAGGGACTGCATTGAACCCATAGAAGGCTATGGCATAGTGCCTGTGTTAGGAAAGGGGGCATGTAGTTGAAGCCCTGCTCCTAACTAGTTCTGTAACCCTACATTATAGAATTCTCCCCTCTGGACCTCTGTTTCTTCATCTTCAAAATAAGGGGATTAGCTGAGAAATTCTCTAATGTCCATGTCCACTCTGCCCTTTTAT